AGCTTTATATCAAGAAGCAATTATGTATCCAGTTCAAGTCTCTTAAGTCTGTTACTGGTCCATAAGCCCCGCTTCAGAATCACACAGTCACAAGCAATGATGCAGAATGCAGGAGATCACAGGCCGGTGGGTGCAGAGTCCTGTGGATCCAGTGGTGGTGGTAACATCGCAGGCTCTGGTGGTAACCAGAGTCAGCCAAGGCAGAGAGAGAGAGTGCGGGGTGGGGGGGCGGCGGCGGCATTTCCCAGGACCCTCCTTATGAGAAGGTCACAGCGACAGGAGGCACTCTCAGGCTGTGATCTGATTGACAGGTTGAATACCGCCCCTACACTTTTATATATCTTCAAGCTAACATAAAATTGCATCACTACCACATGTGCCACATGTTGAGAGGCTGTGTCATCAGACAGCATCAGCCGAGTCTGAATCTGAGAGGGCAGCTCACCGGCTGCCACTGAGTCCCTCCTGACTTCCCGGGACCTACAGGGCAGAGTAGAATGGTCCCATGGGTTTCACAGAAGCAGAGAGCCTGCCGCATCTTCCCCCTGAGGAGTGGCTGCTGGGTTCAAACCCCTGGCCTTTTGGTTAGCAGCCCAGCACTGAGCCACTGAGCCACCAGGGTTCCTTTGAAAGGGCACTTAGAATTAATGATGCCAAGGGAGCAGGCTGCATAGCCCACACAGGGGCCTTCCTGACACCTACAACCCACTTCCCATCTCACAGTCCGGGGTGGTGAGCAGTGTCCAGGGGCAGCAAGTCCCTGGGAGAGGGTCTCCTTGGAGCTGGCCCCAAGGCCCCCAGCAAGGGGCGGTGACCCACCACTCTGTCTTGCGCTGGCGGCCACTCCTATGCAACTTCTTTGGTGTCCCAGCTCCGCTCCCAGATCAAGGGTCTTGGGGTCCAGAGGACACGCTCCACTCCTGGCTCTATCATGTCTTGATAGTAGCACAATCACCCAGTTGTTTGCTGAGGCTGACAGGCTGGAGGTACCCTGCCTCCCCACATGCAGCTGCTCTCACTGGGTGGCATGGGCAATCCCGGGCTCATGTTTGGGCCGTAGGTTCGGGTCCTTCTTCAGCACTTGTTTGTAGACAGCATTGTCTACAACCCTTCCCTCTGGGATTTACCTTCATTGAGGTCCTGCAGGCCAGGCCTGGAGTGGGCCACACACCTGCAAGCTGTGCACCCACCCCACCCCCACCTCATTCCCCACCCCTTCTGCCCTCTTGCCCAGCCTCTGTTTCTTTCCTCCCCTGCCCCCTCTCAATCCTTAGCCTATACCCACCCTCGCCGTTTCTAGCCCCTTCCCTGGGTCTCAGCCCCTGCCTCCTACCACCAGCCTCTGCCAGCCTTCTGAGCCAGCTTCTTGTCGGCCTCTTTCAGGCTCCTTCGACCTGAAGCAGCCGCTGCTCCTTGGCAAACTGAAGGGGAAGGACGAGAGTTCTACGCGCTCCCGCCGCCCGCTGAGCCCCGGCCTGCTGGGCACGCCGCCCCCAGGTGAGGCCCGTGTGTGCCTGGGCCGTGTCTTCCCCCCCACTCCCCCCCACTCCGGTGCCCAGGGACTGCTCACAGCCCACCCGCCCTCTTTCAGAACCTGGCCTCCCGAGCCCCGCGCCCACAGACGTGTCACCACGGTCAAGTGGGAGCGCCTCGTCGCCGCCCGCACCTCCTGAGGACGAGTCTGGCAAGGAAGACGTCATTTTCTTCTAAGAGAGCGGCTCACGCCCTCCTGCCCCTCCTTGCCCCCCACTACAGGACAGCGTGCTCATCCAGTTGGGGGTCTGGGGGCCGGGGGTGGGGGCTTTCAGCACCTTTTTTTCCTGCTCAAAACAAACGTGTTTCCTGGAAGGTGTTGCCAGAGCCGAGTCAAGGAGGTGGAGCCAAGGAGGTTATCCAAGCCCTGGAAACCCCGGGGTGCTGGGGCGGGAGCCAAGCAGGCGCTGGCATTCAGGTGAGGGCTGGGGGGCCGAGCCCTTGCGCTGAGGGTCCGCCAAGGCCTCCCAGCCCTGCAGAGCCTGCACAGAGCGGCCCACTCCCTGGCAGCGCAGCGGCCAGAAGCACGAGGTGCTGGGTGGAGCTATGCTGAGTCGCCCACCGGGTGCTGACCTGGGGGAGTCACTCGGTGGGGTGCTGGAGGGGGCTGTGCCAGACAAACTCGAATTTGGGGGATGCAAGTCTCCAGCTTAGGCGGTCTCCCTGGCCAAGCTTTTTAGCAGACAACCCCTGTGGAAGTTGACTGATTCCACTGGGGGTCGCTGCATTGCCCACGGCCAGCCCCATCTGTGAACCAAGGTCCGTCGGTTCCAGACCCACGTGGGGAGCAGCCCTACGGTAGCAGCCGCGGCCAGCTTCCCACCGCTTCACAGACAGGGAACTGAAAATCGCTGTTCACAGCACGGCGTGGCATCCCCACGTTCCTCCTGGCCCCCAGAAAACCTCTCCGTCCTGCCCAGCGGAGCTCCCGACCCCCGACGCCCTTTCGCAGCGGCCCTTGCTATTTCGGGACCAAAGCACATCGGAGCACTTTTGAGTTGACCTGCATTCCTGTCCAGCCCTGGAGGCCGCATTCCAGACGAGCCCACGGTGTCGACCTGCAGGAAGGTCCCTGGCTCCCACAGCAGGGACACGGGCTCGAGCCCTTTCTCCCGCCATCCCAGGGAGACCCTTTCATCCAGTGTGACTCTCGTGTCAAGCCCCCTGCCGAGCAGACGCCCACGTGGCTGTGGAGTCTGCACTGGTTCGTCGTGACCTTGATCTTCATGCGCCAGCCATTGTCTTTCCCGTGGTGAGGGCAGCTTCCTGGCAATGGGACTTCAGCAATAAAGCGTGTGGGAGGAACTCAGCCTCTGGGCAAGGGTTCATTTTGAAGCCGGCTCCACCCACGTGGGAGCAGGGTGCTGGGGCTCCTGTAAGCCGGAGGAGGTCCGGCAGAGGGTCCTCAGCAGGAGGCCAGCCTGGGGCTTCTCAACAGCCCAGCAGAGCTCTGACCTTGCCACCATCACTGAGGACAGCCCTGTGTGGGAGTGGCTATACCCTTCCCTCCCTAATGACCTTGGGTGGATGGGGTACAGAGAGGCTGGGACCTCTGCCCACCCCAACACTGCTGCGTACCCTCAGCCAGCCTCAAAGGAGACTCCACAGAGGACAGGTATTGGTCCCATCTGGATGTCCCAGGGAGCTCATGACTGGACACCCCTGGGCCAGGTGGTGAGGTGGCTGCAGGCTCCCAGGAGCAGCAGCTTCCAGACCAGATGCAACTCCCCACCCCACCCCCATCCTCCACGGGCTCCCCTCCCTTCAGAACTGCCCAGGGCACTCAGATTTCAACCCTCATACAGTAGCTCCTCTTTCCCCTCTCCATTCCCAGTGGCCCCCAGACGCCCCACCCCGGTATCCAATCTGAGCCAGGTACATCCACCCACATCCATTCAGGGCGCTCAGCGGGGCGCCCATGAGGGTCTTGTGACCCATAGCTCCAAGTATTGGAGGCTGAGCCACTGCCCCCAAGGGGACCCTATGAGGGCAGGGTCCCTATGAGGGGTCCCTATGAGGACAAGGCCAGGGTGCCCCTGCAGCTGCTAGCGACTGTTCCCCACAGTGCCATGCTATGAAAGCATTGTGTTTGAGCCCCAGGCCAATACCAGCCACCAGGACCCCTTTTTCAATCCTCAGTAACCATGAGGGGTCACTTCAGGTCCTTTTACTTGCTTAGTGACTCAGTTTGCCGGGCTAGTGGGGGTGGGAGAAATGGCACATACACACACCCCCAAACCATGTGGTGTCCTCCTGTGACATTTCCCGGTGTAGAAACGGCTGCATTTCTTAACATTAGTTAGGTCGTGGCAGGGCAGGCTGGGTGCTAAACGTAATCCCTCGTGTGTTGGAACGAGAACACAAATGTACAAGCACGAGCGCACGCAAACCCAGGAAGAGGCAAGCAAGCCTACAAGGCCAGGAATGCCGAGGTGCCCTACTACAACAGCAAACCACAGCCAAGGTCACCCACACCGCCCCCAACCTGGACCACTCCGGGTGCTCCGCGGTTGTGAATCTTTCCCGGAGCAGAGCTTGGTCTTTCTCCTGCAGAACTAACTGCTGCAGTGGCCACTCCCTGAGCGAGGTCATGTGCTTAGAGCCCCGCACTGGTGGTGTGGGTGTTAGGGCAGCGCCATGGGGCCACCCCGCGCCCAGTCCAGGAACAAACCCGCCGGGCTCTGAACAGAGCTCGGTGGCGCCGCCGTGTGGAACCGAGTAGCACTGCCCCTGTAGGGTTTTCTTGACAGATCTTTAAGGAAGCCGTTTGCCAGGCCTTTCTTCCTCAGCACTTTTGGAGCAGGTCTGAACCGGCAACCTTTTGGTTAGGCAAGGGGCAAACCATGTGTGCCACCCAGAAGCCTCAGAACACAGAAGATACAGAAACACGACAGCTGGGGGAACCAGCCTGCCCGCCCCTGACCCCAACCCAGCCAATGCACCCTCTTTATGGAGGGCTGGGGTGGAAAGAAACCCTGGTTTCCCCCAAACAGTCATGGGGAGGTGGGACGGTCTGATGTATCACCCCAGTGCTGGCTGCAGAGACGACAGCAGAGGTTGTCAACAGGTTTCAGATCACCACCCAGCATCGCATCCAGCGGCTAAGTGAAGTCCAGTGGGGGCCAGGGGCCAGAGCAGATGAGCATGGTGCCGTCCCCCTGCCCCACCTCGGAGGTTCTGGGGTCTGACTCTCCCCCTGCTGCCCTGCCTCCTCCATCCCTCCCTGCCCCTTGGGTCAACCTACACCAGTGCTTCCCCTGGGGGTGCTAGCATAGCATGATGGAGGGGCTGAAAGAGCAGGTGCCTGTACTTACCCTGGATTGGGGGCTGGAGGCTTAAGTGTTTTCTTATTGCGAGGGGGAAGGGGGGGGCGCATCGGTTTGGGGTTTTGTGGTTTCCCGAAAAGTGGATGGTTGGCCAAGTAAGTGTGGGAACCCGTGGACCTAGACGTTTGGTGTAAGTACAGTCAAACACCCTTGGTCCCTTTTGGGGGTTCCAACTGCTAGTTGTGGCGGCCTTGGCACCCACTTTGGGTCCTGGCTGCTGTGCAGGGGCCCCAATCGAGCCACCTGTACTTCTAACCTGTTCTGCGGTTGACACCCAAAGAGATGGCTTCTGGGAGCCCATGCCTCAATCAAGGTGGGGCCCACTTTCTCCCCGCTCCCCTGCCCCCCCACACACACACACCTTCAGGACCCCAATTCCTGCCCCTGCTCAGGTGGAACCACATTCCTGAGCTCCCAGAGTGGGCTTGAGAACATCATGCTGGTGTTCGGCCTTGCTTGCTTAGTCCGGTGGGGCTACTGTGTGGCAGCGTGTAGCGGTGGCTCCCTTCTGGTTATTGCTGGGGGCGGGGTGGAGGGGGGGGCTGAGGATGGGCCTCTCCTGACACGGACACCTGCGTCTGTCTGCCTATCCCACGAACTCCATCAAGCTCGTAGAGTTTAAGTTGTTGTCTCCAACTGTCACTGGGGTCAAAGGCCCACAGATTGCACACTGTCCCCACATCACCACCCTTTCGATCCCAGCAGTCAGGGGCCACTACAGGAGAGGCTGAGGTGCAGTCGGGGGCTCAGGGAGAACACTGGCTCTGAGTGTATGTTGGAAGCTGGCCTCGGGATACCCTGGGTCATCCATCTTCCTGGTCTGACCCTGTCAGCCCTCCTGGTACATAAGCCATGGTCCTCTGGCAGTCTGTGCCCAGCCCCCGGGAAGGCCTGGAATCTGGCCAGGGCCAGCGGGCCTCAGCCGGGACCCAGGGGCCCAGCAGCAGTGGCAGAACGATGACCTCACACCTGAGCCAGCACCCCCATAGACCTCATTTATTCCTGGCCCAGGCTGGCCTTCCTCCCCCAGGTCCTGGAGGCTACCGCTGGACCCACGTTGGGGCTCAGCCCTGGCACCTGTCTTCCCGTTTCTCTGCACCACACTCTGCCGCCTGCTTCACCAGCTTCGGACTCAGTTCCTGGCCCTGATGAAGAGCCCGCCATGGTTCCAGCTGCGTCCCCGATTCCTGGGGCAGAGTCAGGGGCTGGTGGCTTCCGCCCGGTTGCTGGGGACCCTGACGGCCTGGTACACGCTGAGGATGGACGACACGGTGCCCAGGAGGCCCACGAGCCATGGCGGGAAGCGGCCGGCCCACAGCACGCCCGCCGGCAGCCAGTGCACAGCATTGGCCAGGTCGGCCAGGTTACTGAGCAGCGTGAGCAACTCAGAGCGCACCTGTGCCTCCAGGGCCCACCGGCTGCTCCCACTCCTCCGGAGGGGCCTCCTGCAGGAGCGAGGGGACATGCTCTTACCTCCGCCCCAAGGGACCATCCCGATCTAACACACCCCGAGGGAGCCCCCAGCATGAAATGGAGCGGGGATGGGAGGTGGCCAACCCACCCTTCAGTCTCCCAGTCCCCAGAGGTGAGCAGGGAAGCTGGGTGAGAGCCGGGGGCCCCTTACTGGTGAACCTCAGGTGGGACTGCCCAGACCCTGGGTCATCACCTCCTTGCCCGGGATGAGCAGGTGAAAATGTCCTAGGAAATTTCCTCCTCCCTGTGGGGCGTGGCTGAAACCTCCCTGACCCCCAGTCCTCAGTGTCCCTGCCTGTCAAAGGTAGTGCACCCGGGGCAGGGTGGGGAGGCTGGAAAGGTCTGTGACCAGCATCCATGCCTGATTCCAGGCATGTGGCAGGGATAGCAGCAGGGGCTCTGGAAGCTCCTGAGGACCCACAGGGTGCCCCACCCCACCCCCCCATACACCATACCCCGGGAAGGCGGCTGTCTGGCTCCTCAGCTGTCGCCGCAACTTCACGACCATCCGCAGGGACCTACAAACCAGAGAGCAGGGGCTGAGGGCCAGGACCATTGCTCCTGAGGACTGCCCAGTGCTGTCCTTGCCACCAGGGGCCTGCTCCCTCCCTGAGGGACTGGCTAGCAAGGACAGGAACAAGTTTCTTAGGACCAGAGGTCCAAGGGCAGCAGTCACATGCAAAGCTTCCTCCAGCTGCAGCTGCATGAACGTCCACAGCCCAGCGTGGGTGCTGGCCAGGGATCCATGCCAACCACCCAGGAAGGTCCACCCAGGCCCGCTGGAGACCTGGAACCTGCAGGGGAGGGTGGGGGGGGCTGCGAGAGCCAGGTGAGCCCACCGCCCCAAGAAGCTGCACAGGCCTGCTGTGCCGTGTGTGACCCTGGGCTGGTGGGCCAGCTGAGAACAATTCATCTACCCAGGGGAGATGGCCGGGAGGGCCATATGATGGGACCTCGGGAAGGGGGAGCGGGAGCCACTGGGGCCTTCAAGAAGCTCGTGGGAAGACAGGCTGAAGCCCCTCAAGAGGAGCATCAAAGCCTGGCCCAGGGACAAGTGGCCACAGACCCGGGGCACCCTCCCCCACAGGGCTCCCTTCTCAGAGCAGAGAGACCCTTACTGCCATCACACACAGGAACTTGGGGAGCTGCTTTCCTGTGTCCCCTGGGGCAGGGGACTCAGCACAAAGAAGCTGGCTGAGAGGTGGGCGTGGAGAAGCCCCCTGACTGTCGGCAGCTCAGGCAGGACTGGGGGCTGCTCTCCAGCCCCCAGAGTTGACTAACTCTACGGGAACAGAAAGCTTTGTCTTTCTCCCGAAGAGCGGCTAGTGGTTTCAAACTGCTGTCCACCATGTCACCACTGCTGGGTGGGCCCAGTGCCATCCCAGGGCCCTGATGAGAGGGAGGCAGGGGGGTCAGAGGAGGAGAGGGGACGATGGATGTGGAGGCTGGAGGGATGCTCTCAGAAGGCTAGGAAGGGGGAAGAGGGGGGGGGGCGGGCCTGGGCACAAGCCAAGGTCTAAAGGCGACCACTAGAAGCTGGAAAAGTATGGGACACAGATCCGCCCGGGAGCATCTGGGCGAGTCCAGCCCTGTGGGCAGCTTGCCTTGGGCCCAGTGAGACCCGGAGTGACATCAGGCCTCCAGAACCGGAAGGTGACCACCGTGCCCAGCCTGGGCCACAGGGTTCCTGACCACTTCACTACAGCAGCCCAGCAAAAGCTCATCTGGTGGAGTGCCAACATGAACAGGGGCAGAGAAGGGAGCCAGGCAGGCGACCCAGCATCCCCACTTACCTGGCAATGCCCAGGAGCAGGGAGAGGCCCCAGAACGCTGTGCTCAGCGCCCACCAGTGGGCAGCGTCCACATGGAGGATCTTGGCATCAGCGGCCCAGGCGACATGCTCGCAGGGGTAGTAGAGCTGGTCAGCCAGATTGCCCAGGACAGACAGACAGCGGACAAAGGTGTCCTCTTCCTGCAGGGCGGGAGCAGGTGCAGCTGGGCCCGAGCTCAGACGACCACAGCCACATCAGTGGCTGCGGCCGCACCAAACACCCACCTGCAACTAAGCCTGCAGTTGGAAAGTCCTGCAGGCCCCACGGTTCCTTCTCAGAGGCGGCCACTGTGGTCAGCTCCTTGGGTCTCCCTTAGCTTAGCATGGCCCCCACGCCCATCAAAGCAGGTAGGGGTGGAGGGCCAGCTGCCTGGGTGGGGCCTGGGCCCTGGGATGTTGTCCAGTTCCCAGAAGACCCCAGCACACAGTCTCAGCCTGAACCATCAGCTCTCCACCCTCTGCCCAGTGCCCCTGAGAGGAGTGGAGGCAGCTCCACAGAATCCCAAGCCCTGGCACTGCAGCTGGGTGCAGAGCCAGGCTGGCCTGACTCTCCCCAAGCCAAAAGGGGTCACTACACCCATGGTGCACACCAGCAGCACCCACTCCTCCCACCCACACTGCCCCCTTCTCTCTAGAAGCCCATGCCCACAGAGCTTGCAGCTGCTGCCCCTTCTGCCTCTGCCAGCAGTGGTCGGCACCTGTAACACCACCACCACCACCCCCATTTGGCATAAACTCTCTGGGGCACTCTGGCACATTTACACACTTCTCCCAGGACGGGGACCCAAACCCCAATATGTTCACTGCACCCGTTTCCTGTGACTGTGGGGTTCTCAGAAGGACCCTTCACAGAGATGGGGGTGTCTTCGGAGTGCATGGTGGGGTGTCCACCAGACCTGGAGGGGGAAGGGATGGACAGGGGTGAGGGGCTCAAAGGAAAGGCTAGTGGGTGGCCAGGGTGGGGCCACCTCTGAGGGTAGGGCATCAGGCTGGCTCTGGGGACCTTTCCTGTGTGTACTCGCCGGGTACAGGGCCAGCTGCATAGGAGGGACTGACCAGTGACTGCCCCCCCCCACCGACCCCCCCGCCCTCTGCACTCTGGCCCAGGCTGTTCCAGCCATGGCCCAGTGGCTGCTGTAATTGCCACGGTACACCAGGGCCCCCTGTTGGTTGCAGGGCAACAGATACAGGACACGATCAACAAACTGGCTTGAATGTGCCCCGGGGTGCCATGGAGGAAAGGCCTGGCAGCCTGTTTCTATAAAGATGACAGACATCAAGAGAGCCCTGTGAAAACACTCAGGGCCTGGGGGTTCAGGGCCACCATCTCAGAGGGCAAGAAGGCCAGCTGGCACCACACAGTCCTCAAAGACAAGTACCTTCTACCATGGCAAGTCCTAAAAGTCTGCGAGCACCCCATCTAAGGTGCGCCTCGTGGCCTCTGCCCATCTGGAGCACAGGTTGCAAAAACATTCAAGGTACGTGGAAATAGCAAGTCCAGTGGACTCACGGACCACCCGAGCATCGGTCTCCACCACCCTAGACCAGGAGAACTAGATGGTGGCCGGCGGCCACCACCAACTGCTCTGAAAGGGATCCCATGAGGAGGGCCTGGCTAGAGAGGGGGACATTGTGGCTCAGAGCGCAAAGGCATGAAGAAGGCCCAGCTCTCTGGCTGCACAGAGATAAGGGGGGAACTCCCCCCTCTCCCAAGACTAAGTAAGGTCTCTTAATCATCGTTCGAGTCTGAGACAGATCTCAGCCCCCTGGCTCAACAGGAAGAACGCCACCAGGGAGGCACACACGCCTTAGAACAGTCAACCATTGGAGATCAAAAGGGCAGCAGCCTTGGCCAGGGGCAAAGTGCAGAAGGCAGGAAGAGGTCAGGGAAGAGGAGGATGGGAAGTGCAAAAACCACGGGGAGGAAGTAGGCTACGTGAAGGGACACAGTGGGGATTGCACTCAGTGGAGTGAAGCAAAAGGGGTGCACGTAGTGGAGCGGAAAACTGATCTGCTGGGTCCACGATCCCCCAGCTCACAACGTGACGAAGAGAGAAATGAAGAAAACCCCGCAGAGCGGTTCTATTGCTCCATCCCATGGAGTTGCTACTGACAACGTGCTTTGCAGGCTGGGGGTGGGGGTGGGGGGTGTTACTGGGTGCCTTTGAATTGGTTCTGACTCCCCGCGACCTTAGGTACAACTGGCAGCACTGCTCAGCCCTGCGCCATCCTCACAAGTGTTAGGTTGGCGCCCACTGCTGCAGCCACCGTGCCAACCGATCTTCGGCACACTCCCCCTCTTGCTGCTCTTCTACCTGGCCAAGCACGATGTCTTCCTCCAGGGACTGGTCTCTTCTGACAGCCCATCCTGCGACGAAGCCTCACCTTCTTGCCTCCCTCCGAGGAGCACTCTGACCGGCCTGCTTCTGAGGCAGATGTGTTTGTGCTGTTAGCAGCCTGGGGTCCTTTCTATTTTCTTTTCCAGTGCCACAGGGCAAACGCATCAGACTTCCTTATTCAGTGTCCAGCGTTCACGTGCATGGGAGGCGACCCAAAATACCATGACTTGGGGCAGGTGCCCCTCAAAGCGACATCCTTGCTTTTCGACATTTTAAAGCCGTCTCGCGCAGATGTGCCCAGTGCAGCTCATGGTCTGATTGCTTGCCTGACGCTTCCATTGCTGGTGTAGTCACAAGAAGTCTCAAAATCCAAACTGAATTCACCGCCCTCCACTCGATCCTGACTCGGAGAGGCCTCACAGGAGAGGGGACAACGGCCCTGTGAGTTTCTGAGACTGTAACTTTACGGAAGTAGAAAGCCCCGTCTTTCTCCCGTGCAGCTGATGGTTTCCAACTGCCAGCCTTGCAGGCAGCAAGCCAATGTGTAACCACTACATCCAGAAATCTCAAGGAGATACCAACAAAAAATGGATTCCTTTAAGGAGGGAAGGGAGAGGGGCTGGTGGACCAGGGAAGAGGAGGGAATGTATAAATGCGTTTGCTTTTTTTTTTTTAAGATTAGAGAGCAGCTATCTGGTCATCTCAACAAAAAAAAAAGAAATACAAAAACAAACTAAGTTCATCAAACACTTCTGAGGCCTGTCCCCTCCACGGCCACAAGACCCCCTATTACCTCTGTCCCCAAGCCATACTGCTTTGTGTAGGCGAACATGGCCAGGTCGTCAAAGAGCCGCAGGACGGTCCTGCAGTGGCTGAGCTGGGTGGACAGTGCCAGCAGGCGGGTCCCCACATCTGACCTGGCCGGACCTTGTTCCACCAGGATCCCACCGACCAGCTGGCAGCAATACCCCAGCATTCGGATCTGCAGGAAACCAGAGACGGTCAGCAGGACTACAAGTTGGGTCACCCCAGGGCATCAAGCACACAGCAAATTCTCTCAGCCGAGAAGGCGCCTAACAGATGCGACAAAGGCGAGAAAAGGAAATCCCCAATTTCCACCTTCCGGCTCCTTCACCCAGCAAGCAGTAGGGTTAGACAGATGCCCATTTTCATCTGCATTGGTAGATCATGGTGTCCTGGGGTAGCTGAGCAGCCAGTCAACATGTTCAGCTGCAGCCTAAAACGTTGGAGGTTTGAGTCCACGCAGAGGCACTTCAGAAGAAAGGTCTGGTGGTTTGAAGATGCTATGGCGCACAGATCTACTCCAAAACCCACGGGTCACCAGGCGTCAGAAGTGCGTGACTCGATGACAACTATTCTTGTTAGCTAAAACCAAAGCCGGGCTGGAGGCTGGGGAGCAAGTGATCTGGCCTCGATCCAGCAAAAACAGTGAGAGGGGTTCCCTAAGTAGGTGGTTGGAGCATTGTAAGCTCGGTCAGGTTGACCACCGTTAGCTCTTTAATGATTTCATCTGTTTCCCAGAACTTGCTGCTTTCTTCTTGTCCTGTATCTTATTTTAAATGGGAATTCCTTCTCAGCCCTTTTGTCATGGAAAGACAATGCCACGAACATGCTCAACTTGGGGAGATTTGTTAACAGCCGAAAGGCGAATCACAGGCGTTTTTTGTAGGGATCTGAGTACTCGGACAGGATTCAGCTCAGCCGGGCTCCAACTTCCATGTAATTTCAATTCCACCTTGGGGCGCTCAGGGAACCACCCAAGTGTCCGAGTGGAAGGGATTTGGTTGATACCTTAACGTCTAGCACTGTTGCTGGGTGCCATCAAGTTGGTTCCAACCCATAGTGACCCTGGGCTACGGTGACCAGATTTTAATATTGGTAAAGCGGGACACCATTGATAAAACTCATCCTGGCGAAATAGCCACAGGACAGCCGAAAACTGTATACCCTAGCTTGTCGTGCACTCTTTCCAAAAATCAGGACTTTTTCAAAACGCCGCGGGACGCGGGAAAAGTTGTTAAAAATTGGGACTGTCCCGCCGAAAGCGGGACGTAGGCACAACAGACACTGTGCACAAGACTGCCCGGTCCTGCACCATCCTCACGGTGGTTCCTATGCTGGAGCCCATTGTAGCCACGGTGTCCACCCACCTCCTTGAGGGGCTTCCTCTTTCTCACTGCCCGTCTACTCTACCAAGCATGATGTTCTTCTCCTGGGACTGGTCTCTCGTGAAAACATATCCAAAGTAGGTAAGGTGCTGCAGCAAGGTGTGTAGGTGTTGTAGCACCCTAAGTCCCTAGGCGAGATTGTGGTGACACCCAGGGACCAACTACAGGGGCCTGGTCAGATTCTCCGGGTCCAAATGTGGGGGGTTGGTTGGTATGAAAATTGTCCAGCTATGGGGACCCAAGCAGTCAATGTGAGGGGTTTAAAAGCTACATCTCTAGGGGATTTGGTCGGCCCCCACGGTGGATGGATATGCCAACTATCCCGGTGTGGCACTGGTGGTTCCTGGACCTAGACTGACTAAAGCCGCCTAAATGTCCCACCATAAGAGACGTGGCTTGGGGGGCCCTGCGGCATCTGGGCCTGATCCTGAATGTCACCGCTGGGTGTGGCTCCTGTCCCACCGGCTGGGTGGGTGGAAACCACCCAACACTAGGGTGCAATCCAAGCTCCGCGTCAACAGGACCCCGACGATGGAGATTCTCCAGCGATCCCACCACTCTTAGGGGCCTCGGTTTCCCCACTCTGACTTTCGATTGAACTCTAAAACCTCTGCTCCCCGGCACTCCGCCGCGACTCTCGCAAAGCGGGTGTCAGCAAAGCAGGGTGCACAGCGGTCCGGGGTGTCCCCCCGCCGGCCCGAGCCCGACGGGACGCTGGCTCACCAGGCGGTCTCGGCCCCGGTACGACTCCAGCGCCGACGCCAGGCCGCTCACCGACGCCATGGCAACTCCGCCGTGACGTCACGCGGCGCGCCAGGGGGCGGGGCCAGGCCCCGGGAACGTTCCCAGGGCTCGCGCAGGCGCACGCGCTCAGCGCTCAGCGCAGGTGCGGCCGCGGCCCTCTGTTCCCGCGCTGGTGCTTTATCTGGGGCCGGGGATCCTCGGAGTTCGCTGCTGCCCCTTGGCCCGCACAAAAGTCTCCCATGCAAAAGCATCAACCTGATAGCCAGGATCCAAAGAGATTTTCTCTTTCCTTTTCCTGCTTGTTGGGATTTCCGACTTTTCCTGCTTTGAAAGTTTGCCGTAGCTCCAGTAACAGTCACTAGGTGTCTGCGCAGAGATTTGATTTTCACCGTGATACTGCCTCGGGGCTTTCGGGTTTTGTATAATGCCCGTGGATTATGTCTTCAAAAAGCCAACCGACTTTTAAAAGAAGTTAACACGGCCACTTTTCTTTCTTTTATATCGATTGCGGTGACATTCACAAAACAACATTCAACATTTAAAAATAGTTGAGTTAATGCTCAAAGGATTCTTGCATGGTGCAGTTTACACTGGACTACTTAGCCCTAAGGTTAGTGGTTTCATTAGAGCTTCGATTCTGAGAACTAGGTTTGTGGAAAGCTACCTGTTTACAGCGGAAGGCCTAAACCCATGCTTAATTCTCCTCCTAGATTCAGCCTCCATTAAACAGTTTTGCCCTCAGGCAGAGTGTGTTTGCAAGTGGATTACTGCCACTCCCCTAGCCAGTCCAGAGAGGGGCAGCCTATATAGCCTTTAGGGCACGGGTCCTCAAACTTTTTAAACAGGGGGCCAGTTCACTGTCCCTCAGGCCCGTTGGAGGGCCAGACTATAGTTTGAAAAAAAACTATGAGCAAATTCCTATGCACACTGCACATATCTTATTTTGAAATAAAAAACAAATGGGCAAAAACACCCGGCGGGCAGAATAAATGGCCTCCACGCCGCGGGCCCTAGTTTGAGGACACCTGCTTTAGGGCCTTACCTGGGTGTGCCTTTGTGAAATTTGGAGTTTTAGGGTTCAAAGAGGAGCCCTGGTAGTGTCATGGTTATGAATTGGGCTGCGATCCACAGGCCAGCAGTTCGAAACCACCAGCTGCTCTGCTGGAGAAAGACAGGGCTTTCTTCTCCCATACACAGTTATAGTCTTGGAAACAGGGGCAGTTCTGTTAGATCCCTCAGGGGAGAGATATACCTCGGTCCTTGGCTCCACACAAGAAAGAATTCACGCCAAAGCCTGGTTTGTGATCCAAGTGAGTTTGATGAGAGTTAGAAGAAGTTTCAGGCTTACACAGGCACCCACAGGGCCCCTCACCCCGTACAGCCTCCCTAGAAGCTGCTCTGAAAGTCACGCGGTCAGCTCCCGGCTCTTGCCTTTTCAATTATTCCGCGGGGAGGCATGGTGGACAACCCTGGTCGACCCCATTGGCTGAATTGAATTTACCTGGCCTACGTGGGTCAATTCAGGTGCAGCACCCACCCAGGTGTACCTCCCCTTCCTGGCCGGAAACCTGAACATGCGCAGTGTACCACTCCTTCAGGGGCTGGTAACTAGGACCTCTGAGCATGCGTAATGGACACCCCAGCCCCTAAACTAGACGACCTAACAGTTTTACCTGGTCCTCCAGGGTCACTCTGCATCGGCCTCGACTGGATGGCAGAGAGTTGAGTTTGAAAGTCCAAATGCTCATGAGTCATGTCCCGACTGTCCAGGTCAGAGGGCCCTCAATCAATCTGATAGCCTTTCCTGTCTCGATTAGTACACATATCCCACGCATGGTCCCTCTCCAGCTTCTGTCGGGCCCTCTGCAACTGTGATGCATCCACCTGCCGCCGGTCATGCTTTGGGGAGTTCCCCTTGGACTCTGTTCTATTTAAGTAGTGGGGTTTCTGTAAGTCCTTGGGCGCCGTGGTGGCCTCACCCTGATGGTTTCCCTCTTCCGGATACACCGTCTTTGTCCTGTTTAAAATTCCAAATTGTGTCTCTGTGGTTCAAATCCACCCGGTGGTGCCGCAGAAGGAAGGCCTGGTGGTTTGCTTCCTTCAAGAGGACCATCATGAAAACCGCACGTGAGTGCAGGCAGGCAAACAATCCCACACTAGCAAAAGGTCTGCGTTGACTCAGAGGCGAGGCCTCCGTTTGGGGGGAGCAGTGGTTTGTGTTAAGACACGCACCGTGTTGCACAGCAGCACCTGTTTCTAGCTCCGCAACATCGCCCCAAGAGCATCCCCAGTCTTTTGTCTCCTCCCCCTAGCCCTTGTTGTTCCCAGCTGTGGGGCTGGCTCTAGCAAGCCCGTGAACAATAAGACGAAGCGTTGCCCGGTCCTGTGCCATCCCCGTGACCGGTTATGAGTAGGACTGTTAGGACCCGTCGTGTTTTCACTGGCTGCTTTTGGGAAGTAGATCTCCAGGGATTTCTTCTGAGTTCCTCTAAGTCCGTCTGGAAGCTCCAGAGACCTACTGAGCAACCCCAGCAGTCCCCAGGCCTTCCCTGACAGACATGAAGTGCACAGACCAAGACTTGAACCTAGGTCTCCCCCGAATCCCCACGCTGGAAAATGAGACGACTACTACCAAACCACCTGCCAATGAATGCCCTAGAACGCAGGAAGGTCTTTTGCTAATTTATCTGGTCATTTGCCCATTTCTCTTCCACGGGGTGGGCTCCACCCGGGCAGGGATTTTGATCTTCATTGTGTCCCCACGGCCTGGCACGAAATAGGTTCCCAAGAGGTGCTGAGTGCCTGGGGTTCACCTCCCACCCCCAGCTCCCCTCTCGTGCCCCATGCTGTCCTGGGAGAGCTAGTCCACGCCTCTATGCTGACCTCTTCCACATCTGTCTTCAATATTGCTCTTGCCTGCCCACTGCTAGCTCCCAGCATGATCATGGGGGGCCCAGAGAGGGTAAGGGAGTTCTCCAAGGTTACAAAGGGTCCACCACCATCCTCTGTGTAGGGTCCAGGATCTCAGGACATCCTGGACTCTGGGACTCCCTGAAGCCATGTGGTCCTACAGCTGCTGCCCAAGGGACATCCCACCAGGCCCTTATGCTCAACAAAGCCCAGACTGGCCTCAGCATCATCCCCCAACTCTCTTCTTCTCTCAGAGTCTGAATCATCGGGGCAGCCCCACCACCTACCCCATCACCTAAGCACCGACCTCAACCCAGGCCCATCCTCCCCGCTCCTGGACTCTGGCCCCATGTTTGTCTCCTAGCACGGTATCACTGAGTCCCACAAATGATGTGGCTTCAAACACAGTCACCCCAGTTCTGCAGGCTGGGGTCCCACATGCAGGTGTCGGCAGGGCTGAGCTTCCTCCACGGATTCCAGGGGAGGAGCCGTCCAGGCCTCGTCCAGCTCCTGCTGGTCCCCACCCACCTTCGTCATTCCTTGGCTGGTCGATGCATCCCCCCCAAGGTCTACCTTCATCATCCCATGGCGTCTCCCTTGTGTGTGTCTCTGTCTTCACCTTATGTCTGTCTGTCTGACCTTCCTAGGGAGAACATCAGTCTCTGGATCTGGAGCCCACCCTAAGCCAGTATGATCTCACGTTACACATAACGAATGACGGGGGAAAGATCCTATTTCTTAATAAAGTCACACTGAGGTTCTAGGTAGACATGAATGTGGGAGGTCTGTTGGACCCGGAAAGGCACCCTGGTGATGCATTGGACTAGTAGCCACAAGGCCAGCAGTTCAAAACCACCAACGTACTTCTCTGAGAACCTAATGTGTGCCGGTTGTGCTGAGGGACCAGGGTAGAGTGGTGAGTCCGGA